GTGAGCAGAATTTGAAAGAAGAAACACCCTATCGCGAGACATCTTTTAAAGATATTCCAACTAGTTGTGAACAGAATCTGAGAGAGGAAACCTGCTACCCAGGAACATCTTTTAAGCATGTTTCAACGTGTCGCGAACATAGTTTGAAAGAAGAAACCTTGTATCGCAGAATACCTTGTAAAGATATTTCAACTTGCCACGAGAAGACCTTAAAAGAATTAAAATCCTATTCTAAAGATCCTATACACAATCGTGGAACGTGTTTGAAAAAACAAGTAACTTATTGCGAGAGATCACCCACAGATGTTCCAACTAGTTATAAACATAATTTAAAAGAAGGAATTTCTGTCAAGGAGGTGCAAGCTGGTTACGAACGTAATTTAAAGAGACCATATCTTGGCGAAATATCCCACAAAAATGCTCGAACTTGCGCAGATATGAATTTAAAAGAGGAAACGCCTCGTTACCGAATCTCTGTAACAAATGCTTCCAGTACTAGTTCGCAAAGTTCGGGAGATGATTCTTTCTCTTGCGATCGGAATTTAGAAGATACTCTCTTGTGTAATGCGTCACCTTTACAAAAAACCCCAGTTTATTGTAAACCATCATTAAAACGAAGCTTAGTTTGCGAGCCAACTTTAAGGCGTTATTCATTGCAGAGTAATTCATCCCTTAAACATTTATTATCCGCATCGCATTCTAAAATATCTATTGAAGCGCATCGCCGTAGAGTATCGCCAAGCAATTTTTCACGCTATCCGCGGCGTTGGACAAAGACCTGCTTATCTTATAATAAACCTTTAACTGAAAAAAATATACCCGCTGTCGGAACTACTAAGTGCCCATGTGAGCATATTGATTATGCGACAAGGTTTGTCGAAGGCAAAAGAGATCGCATAAGTAGAATTGATGCATTTAACAGAAGTAGGAATGAGAAATCAATGTCAATATTTGAAGTTTATTCAATCTATAAAAATAAACCATTAGCGGCATTAAATCCCGTTTTGCGAAAGTGCCCCTCGCTTACTCTTCATGAAACTAAATCCATTTGGAAAGATCATTTGGATTTTTTGGCGATTTTGGATCGTCTCGGAGATGGTGAACAGCCAGGAACTTCACAAACGAAAGGGTACCGGTAAGGTGCTTAATATTGCTTTTCGATAGCGTCAGTACTCTTATTAAACGCGCTATGCCGTGTTGCTATCAAAGAAGTTGTAGTAATAACTATGCAAATATTCCTTAAAATTTTTTAAAAAATTATTTCAATGAATATTGATGTAGTTATTAACTAATACTTTCTCATTAGAGATTTTTCGTTTTTCAACGCCTGTGTGAGTTAATGATGTCCATTCGAATAGTTCTGCATATGTGAATGCTTCTAAATTATTATTATTATTATTGTAATTTTTTCTGTATTAAAAAAAATTTATGTTCAAAATCGATTTTATTATTTTCGTCCCAATTATTGATATTCTGCTTCAAATTGCAAAGCGAGAAAGTTATGAAAACGCAGACCGAATAAGAGTAATTTGTAGCAGAACTATGTTTACTTTTTTTTATACCCTTCAAGACCATGTTAAGTTTATGTGGACGTACGTAACACCTTTTATGATACCGAGCGAGCCAGAATCATTTCATCATCTGTATCGATCTAAGCTAGTGTGCCAGTCTGTTCGTCTGATGTATTTTTGTGTTCGACTTACAGTTCAACATTTTTCAGTTTTTTGTTGAAGTTCAATACATTAACGTATTTCGATCTAAGAAAAAATTCGTCGGTTTGCATCGCTTCATTTTCGCAACCGTTTCACAATTTCCAATTTTAAAAATTTTTAAACAAAACTCGTCATGGAATAGTAATTTGACATCGGTATGAAAAATTTGGTTTAGCTAGCGCAATTTTTTCAAACCCCTCTCATATAACCGTTCCTATGAAAACTGAGTCTTTGTACGGTAAGAAGGTGTAATTTTTAACATTTCGTGATGAAAATTAATTCATAGTAGTAAACTGGCGAAAAACTCAACCTTATCAAATTTGGACCATGTAAGTCTATTTTTTAAATACTGGGCCTTTAAGTAAAGGGCATAATTGTTAATCTTTTATGATGAAAATATGTTCATCAGAGTAATTTGACATAAAAATTTAGTGGAACGTATTTAAACCATGTGAACCTTAATTTAAAAATAGTTCCCATAAGCAGAATTTGAATTTATTTAGTTTGTTTGAAAGGTATCTTCATGTAGATGTCCACAAAAATATTTTACGTTGTTTAATATGGACGGAGTAGGTTTTCAAATCTAACTATATCTCAATTGTAATTATTTAACAGAGCTCTGTTAAGTCGTTAACAGGTATTTGTTAACAGAAATGGTAGGTGTCTTTGTTAGTTAAATTCGAATTTATCTTCACACCCTTCAAGGCATTTAGATTATATAGGTGTGCTGTTAGACCCTAACATATATATGGGTTCTCATCAAAAGCAAGCCTCTGTACGGAAAGAAAGTCTAATATTTGGTTTTCTATGACCGAAGTCGAAAAATAACATTTTTAGGAGATGAACTAAGTTTTCAGAAAGTAGATCATGCCAAGTGGTGTTGTGAGCATCTTCCAATATACGGGCTTTCATGACAAGTATAACTTGAGTTAAAATAATATGTGTTTTTGGTGTTGTGTTATGATCAAAACGAATGAATAATTGTGCTAGGCGATTTGGTGTAGGGTACCTCCGCGCGAGTATTATAGAAATTAATTCAGATTCCATGCCTTTCTTAGGCAATACGACCTAACTTAACAATCCACTTTTACAGCAAAATATTACAAAATACCTTGCTTTTCATAACTTTAGAGAGAACACACGTATCTCGATGTTCACATGCAAAAGCTACTAAAGCATCCGACACCTCTTACTGCAAGAACGTGGGAGCTAATTTTGTCGCCTGCCTGTCGTCTCATGTAAAAACGTGGTGTGAGTTTTGTGGAAGCTAACTTTTGCAATTTCTCACTAATTTGAAGGAGTTTCATTTAATTTAAGTCATCAAAAATGGGGTCTTTGGCTAAATCGTTCAAAAACAGGCCTCTAGAGCAATACAAACTGAGAACGTCGTTATTTTCTTAATTGATCGTTAAATGATTTATCAGCTACCACAAACACACCATAACAATTTCCACGGATACTCTGCGGAAATGGAAAAACTCGGGCATGCCCAATATGAAAATTTAGTTTCTCTATCTTTTTAAAGATAAAGGCGAGGGCCATAGAGAATTTAAATTTCCTGTTTGTGTTTATTGTATCCTACACCGCTTGTGGTACAAGGATATGTTAAATTTGTACGAATTTGGGCGACGCTTAGAAAGACTTGAAAAGCTGAAAAGTAAGCCGTGACCCATTTGTGACTACTATAATGTTTTTAGTTATTTCGAGTTAAGTTATTCATCAAGATTTGCTTACGTATCCAGGCGTTGTTTCGTTGAATTGGGATGGGCGAGTTCATTGGATTTTATTCAGTAAAGCTTTAATATTTTTTTGATTTCAAGCTTTATTATAATATAAATTAACAACGCCTTCTTAAGGATACGCTGATTGAATAAGGTGAAATGTGCTTAAGTGGATGTACTACTGCAGCAAGAAATAAAATCATAAAAAATTGTCATTTGACTTTAAAAAACTTCAAATACATATTAAAAAATCGTACTTATGTTCATTTAAAATCAAAATTTCATAACGTGTATATCTCAAAATTTTTCTCTCCAAAAACTTTTAGTTTTTAGCCTTGAAAAAATTTTAAAACAAAACATAAAATTTTAAAATTTTTGAGAAAAGGAAAAAAAAAACGAAAAATTAAAAATGTTGAATCCCACGGCAGATATGGAGGTAGCGGCAAACAATGTATTATGCCAGGTGCCCTTGCAGTGCATAGAGAAATGCAAATACAAAAAATATCCAACGTTACCGCGAAAAGTCTATGAAGTAGAGGATGAGAAAAAATATTTGGAACATGCTGATCCTTATTGGGCGAGATTTTTACGATCTCAAGCTGATTCCAGTGCCAAGTATTTGTATAGAATGAGCTTCTTTGGCTCCAATCGCGATCCTACTATGGTAAAAAAAGAACCATTTCCGCCCGCATTAATACATCAACGTCTTTTACATATGCCCGTAATAGGGGCTTTAGACCGCGATGCTATGTTTTATATGTTGTGTTTCATATTGAACATGTTGAGATTGAATCCCGATTCACAAAAGGACGTCTTAAAAAAATTTCGTGAACGCAACTTGATTGATAACGAGATTTTAATTTATATGCAATTGATAAGTCGTCACCCGAACACAGGACTAACGAATGATCAACGTGACAATTTTATTCGCATAACACAGGATATTATTAATGAACATTCTACAATACGTAGCAATAATTACTTTAATCCGGATCATATATTTAAGAAGTCTTTCGTTGAAATTGATCCTTACGAGTTGGAATATTTGAAAAGTATAATGCATACGACAGAAGATCTTACCAAACAACAATTTTTATACTTAACTATGCTGGTCGAACGATTACAGGAGATGCCGCTTGCTAAACGAGATCAATATTTAAAATTGCTTCATTCGAAAGGCGTACTGCCTTCAGAGAAATATACAACGCTCTCGTGGTATTTAAGTGATAAGGCTAAACGTTTCGATAGCACGCGCCTAAAAACACTTTTTCAGCAATTGGAAATTTTAATGGATATTGCGGAAACTATGCCGCCAACACGGCCAGCAGAAATACCGAAAAAATATATCAGCACAACCGAAATTAAAACGGATGCGTATAAAGTGACTCAAACATTGGAAGCACTTATGAAAGGTGCCGTTGAGAATATAGTGCGTTTGAGCGAACTTAAAAACTTCCTTAAGAATTTAATGTCGTTAACACCGTACGAATTGGAATCAACCTTAAATTCTTTGAAAAATTCTTATGTCCTCGATAAGGATCAATTTCAGTTTCTTATTGATTTCATTGCGGCCGGGCGACTGCGTGGCGATCCAAAGAAATTACAATTATTAACGGATATGTTAGAAAAGGTGAGTGGCACGCCAATTGGGACTCAAGTGCCAAACAATGACAATGCCGCGATGGAACAACGACAAGGCGGAGCTAAAAGTAAGTGAGAGGTAAGTGAATTTATTGTGATTCAATAATTTTACATATTTTATTAATTCAAAATAGAAAAACCAACCATAATAAAAGCAGCAGTACCGATAATAGCGGCTGTGGCATCAAAGGAAAGAATGTTAGCGATGTCGTCAATTCAATCCCTTAATCAAAAAGGTAAATATGAGTAAAAATGTTAAAAATAAAAATGGAAAAAAAAAAAAACAATTCTTTTTATTCACGTAGCTGCTGCTGTCAAAAAACAAAAAAAATCACATGAAGGAATAGGCGAAACTCTTGGAGAAAAAGGTAAATATTGTCGAAAAATCACAGTTATTTTGAATAAGAAAAAATATATATTATAAAAATGAAATCGTTTAGACGGATCCATTGCCAGCAGAAAACGAGGAAGTATGTTGACAAAGACTGGCTCATCTCTTTCGGAGAAACGTAAATATGAATAAAAATATGATGAAGTTATTTAAAAAAAAAAGAAAGAAAAATATATGCAAATTTAAATATTTTAGGTGCGGCGGAGACGGACCCAACTTTTACGGGAAAAGGTAAATATGAGTAGGGAGAGGGAGAGGGAGAGGGAGAGAGAGGGAGAGAGAGGGAGAGAGGGAGAGGGGGAGAGAGAGAGAGAGAGAGAGAGAGAGAGATTTTTTAAAAAAATTTATAAAATAAATAATAATATAAAAATTAATCTAGGTGAAGCTGCTGCAGCTGCTGGTAAACCCCTAGAACAGGCATTGGCGGAGTTAGATCCAACTTCTTCCACGGCAAAAGGTAAATGTAGAATGAAAAAAAAATTTAAATATATTTAAGAAAAAAATTCACAAAATGAATTTATTTAGATAAAGCTCCCGCTGCCAAAATATTCGAAAAGACATGGACTGAGACAGATCCAACTTCTAAGGAGAGAGGTAAATACGAACAGAGAGAGAGAAATATTTTCAAAAGAAATTTATAAAATTTATAAAATAAACTCGATGTAGATGAAGCTGCTGCTGCTGCTGCTGCTGCTGGCAAAAATCAAGGACAGACGTTGGCGGAGATAAGTCCAGCCTCTACGGAGAAAGGTAAACATGAAGAGAGAAATATAAATATATTTAAAAAAAGGAAAATATACAAAATAAAATTACTTAGATGCGGCTACTCCTGGCAAAGGACAATCGGGAAGAGAAGGGGAAAAGGGGACCGTAATAGCAAAACAAGATAAAAGAAAAGGTAAAAAGATGAGAACTCTGAGAGAGTTTATTGCGATTTCATAAACTTTTAATTTTCTTTAGGAAACATCCCTCCTGACGAAGACTCCACTGATGTAGGCGAAGTATACGGCGATAAAGAAGATGTCGGAGGCGACGGAGATGTTAAAAGGGAAAACGATACAAAATCAGAACCCACTAAAAAACGTCAACATTTTAAGAAAATTGGTGCAGGCGATCAAAAGAAAAAGGGCGATAAAGACGAAAGTAAAAAAGGGATCGCAGTTACTCACGTGGTAAAGGCGCCGACAACTATGACAACTGTGATCAGTGCCGCATCCATTCTTTCGGCAATGAAACTGGACACGACCAAGACTGTAAAAAAGGAAAAGGATAAAGGCCAAAAAATGGACTACTTTGAATATCCCCCACCTTTATATAAATCAGCGCGCACGGAATATATGCTGGAAGGACCAAACGGGCCAATTCCTTTAATACGTAATCGTGCATTATTTTTTCATTTCTGCACGCGCTCCGGCAAAACCAATCGTATTGTGTCCATTAAGAATGGCATTTTGCGCTTCAGATAAGAAAGGAGAACTATTCCATATGTATTTTTCTTTTTTTGTTTTGCGAATGTTTTTTCTTCCATTTTGTATTCTTGCAAGCGTTAAAAATCAACATAAAAGTGTAATAAGAGTTACCATCCTTTAGGTGAATTGATGTTCTTTTTCTCTTATGAAGGGACCGGGGCCCAATATATCGATATCCAAGGGATAATTTAATTTTCTCTGTTTTGTATTTAGTTTTTGTGGACGTATGCAACGATCGGAGGAACTTGACATGAATCTTTCTGAATCACATGAGCCGAGTTAGAATAGCCTGTCCATCCGTGGCGGCGCTCTGCATCACTTTGCTTAATACAATTATTAACCAGTTTTGGTAATAATACACCAAAAATTACACGTTATTTTCATGAAAGCTCGCACGCATATTCGGGAATGCCCAAAGCGGTGCATGATGTAATCCAAATTTTTTAAACTTAATTATGCTTCCGTCAAAAAAAAAAACGGAAAATTAGACTTTCTTTTCACACAGGGACTTGTTTTTCATGATAACCCAGGGTTAAAAAAATAGACCTGCATGATCCAAAATCTCTGCTGTTAATTTTTTTACCAAATTGTTATGTGGACCGATTTTCATCATTGAAATATTAAAAATTAAATTTTTTTTCTGAAGGGCTTACTGTTAATGAGAAATCTTATATAGAGTGGTGTCCAAGAAATAGTGGTTTAAATATGATCCATTTCATTTTTATGTCATATTATTACCATGAATAAAGTTTCATCATAAAACATTAACTATTAGACCTTTTTGGGACAAAAGGGCTTACTTCCTTTCGTGAGAATCCTTGTATGCGGCGCCGTTTAAAAGATAGGCCTACATGGTTCAAATTCGGTAAGGTTGAGTTCTTTGCCAATTTACTGCCAAAATATTGTGAACCAATTTTCTTCATGAAATATTGAGAATTAGATATGTTAATCATATAAAGATTCAGTTTTCGTAGGAACGGTTATAGGTGAGGAGTTTTAAAAAATCGGCAAATTTTTCATAGCAATTTAAAATGTCGAAATAGTATTATCCGGATAATTTTTTCAAATAATTTTGAAAATTGCAATTTTTGTTGCTTTTATTATTATTATTATTATTATAAATTTAGCCAGAGAATAAATTCTAAGACTAAAGTCTTAAAGCACTAGCATCTAGGGCTATCGGCTTTTTATTAAAAACTCTACCGCACTTGAGGTTTGAACCCACGACTATTGAGTTGCTAGTCGAGACTCTTGCCTACTCGGCCACTCAGGCGGATTTTGTGGCTTTTAAAAATAAGGCGTTGTATGGGGAGTGATCGAAAAAGTGAATCGATCCTAATCATCCTCAATTGCGTTCATCCTTGGATTAAAGTGCTTCCATGTATCATTTGCTATCATAATATTTCAAAAATTGTGAACGCAAAAAGAAGTGGACAGATATCAGACGAAAAGACAAACTTGGATCGATTTAAAATCATTTTCGACTAGAGATCTTGTAAGCATCATTACATCGTATAAAATAGCGATAAAAATAAATAATTTTTAGATTCTATGCTATTCAAGAAAAAATAATAGAAACATTGAAACTACTTGTACCTAGCTTGCTATTGAACATGGACTAAATCGGTAGAAGGATAGACCTGCAACATTACCTAAACTGAGAACAAGTCTGGTTTTCAAGAGAAAAAAATGTGGTTTTCTGCTTTTCCGTATGAACAACAACAGGTAAATCTAAAAAATTTGAACATATATTCTATGAGCGGTGCCGTAGTGCTTGTACGAAAATGCCGCACCCACCTAATAGTAGTATAGAATATGAAAATTCAGTTAATTTCCTTTTTTTTTAGTCTTTTTCAGGATAATAGTGACGTAAAAGATTCAATCGCAATCGAGTATGATTTTTTTCAATTTTGTTTTTCAAGTTTTTCTGTAGATTTTTATGCATTCATTTTGAGTAAAATGAAAAATCTACAAGCTATTTTATTCTGTCCCTACGTAACGAATTTGTTCTTTTCTACTCCTATTCCTATGAAATTGAGAAGAAAATGTATCTATAACTCTCAACTTTAGTTTTGTATGACTACGGAGCGCGTTTAGAGTTTTTGGATTGCGCAAAATATTTGAAATAGGGTTTAGGGTTTGGGACATTCGGAGTTTCGATTATTAAGAAATTGCTTTTGGCCAAAAGTAGCTGAACAAAATTGTATTTTAAAATCTATAAAAAAAGATATCGGGATAAATTTTGATTCAAATGAGATATATAAATATTTATATATATATATATATATATATATATATATAAAGGGTGCCAAGATAAATTCAAATTTATCTAGCAAAGGCACGCACCATATCCCTTTAAATATTAAAAAAATGAAGATATATTGGGATTTAGAAGCGTACTTCGTCCATATTGAAAAATGTAAAATATTTTTGTTTACACATCATGAATCCATTTGAAGTATATGCCTGTCAAACAAGTTGAACAATTGAAATTTAGAGGAACTATATTTAACAGTTTTTGGTATCCACCTGAGTGGCCAATAGTCAAGAGTCTCAACTAGTAACTCTTAATGGTCGTGGATTCAAATCTCAATCTGAAAGTCTTAGACATGCTAAGCTTTATGACTTTGGTTTTAGAATTTATTCTCTGGCTATAGCCTAGTCCTAATTTAGCTGCACTGGAGTCTTAAATTTAGGTGTTTTTCCATAGCCATATCGATTTGTAAGTCCGTCAAATCGCCCTTAAGCATAAACAAAATCCCAATTTTTGAAAAATTGACTTAAAAATGGGTACGAAAAGTTTGTCCTGCATATAATTTTTTAGAAACTTTTCTTTTAATTTTACTCTCTTTTATCATATGAAAACACTGCAGCTCGATTTTGACAATTTTAAGTAATTTTATTTAATTGTGTACTTTGAGTTTACAATTTAAGAGGAAAAAAAATTTTTTTCTTTTTTTTTTTTATGCTGTTGAAATTCGCATGGCTTTGCCACCCTTTAAAACGCGATCACATGATCCCTATACTCATGTATATTTAAGAGGGTCGAAACATTTTTTGGTAATATTTCAAACGTCGGGTAAAATAGATACTAGTTTTCAAGCGATCGAATACCCGCCTCATCTTTTCGCGCGTCGATTCGGACATTTTCGGTGGCATATAATTTCGGATATTTAGAGCTTTTGTGGAACTTGTACTAGTCATTGGGTCCTGACTTTCAACGTTGAAGATTGTCTTCATTGAACTGGAAGCGGTTAGAGCGTTTGAATTGACTGCTGATATTGCTAATTGTGATGAGTTATTAAGATTCGCCAAACTTGTTGGGGTATTTGTCGTCATAATCTCACTTATTGTAGTCATAGATGTATTATCTCTATCAGTATGTTGCTGATGTTGTGAACTTGCTACACTATCAAAGGAATTATTTCGATTCTTTGTTGTACATAAGACATCAACTCGATGTTTGGTTAATGATGGGAAAATCTTCATTTTAATTTTTTGATTAGTTATCAAGGCATTGAATGATTTTATAAGCATGTAACGATCTTGAGAGTCCAAAGGTATAACATTTTCCAATAATAAATTTTTTAAATAGTAGCACACTTGATTATTTAATACTCCACGTCGTTTCAAGGTAACTATATAATCATGCAACTCTTGAGTACCCATCTCGATTAAGCTGCGTAGAAAACTCTCCAATATTTGCAATTTATGAGCATTTAGTAGACCGCCTTCCAGCAAGTATATCATAACATTCGAGAATTCGTGAGTGTCCTGATGATGTACAACTGCTTTGTTAGATGTGGTGGGCGATGGCAAATTGGGGCGATTGCGTTTAACATCTTTTCGCGGCTTAACTGACGGCGTTATTTTTTTAATCAAATTTCGTTTGAGTAAACCTTCCAGTTTTTGAAAATCTTGCACTTTCCACTGGCCCTTAGATTCTTTCAAAAATGCAAGTAAAGCGGCAAAGCTGTTTCGCCCCAAAAATCCATAAGTCTTAAGTAAACTAAAATAATCTTGGGCATGACGTGTACTAAATCTTTTCAAACGTTCCAGATATCTGGTTAGATATAAAAATTTTTCAGTGGTCATCTTCTCAATAAGTAATATATGATGAAGAAATGCTAGCTCACACGGATTTAATTGTTCCATTGTGGTTTGCAATACGTCTTCTGGATCAAGCGAATGATGTAATTTAAAGTTTTCCATATCGAACATGGTGTTTAACATAATATTGACTTGTTCCGTAGACCATTTAATATTCGATTTAAGGAAGCAACTAAAAAAGCAAAATAACGCATCCTTGCTTAGCGGTTTCGTCGCTTTCACTAACGCTAAATTATATTCCATAACTTTCGGATTTAAATGCTTCAATTCATTTAGGAAACCATTTAAATATAATCTTTGGTCATTTCGAAGGGTACGTTCCTTACCAATGGACCATAGTACACGCGATACAGCGTCTAATGAGAATTTTTCCGTGCCTTGCCTACCGCGACGATCATTATTAGTGATATTACGTTCTGGAACTCTTTCTCTGGCTTCGACAGCTTGTTGTTCATCAACAGTTTTCATGATCGCATCAAAATCGTCGTACGGCATTGCCGCTTCATTTTGCGTAGTTCTTATCCTTTGATCTGCTGTGGTCGATTTCGCGGAAGAATTTGGCTTTCTTGTAACTCGTCGCGTTTTTGATATAAGTTGATTTCGTGACGCGAACGCTTCGTGTTTCAACATTTTGTATTATGTTTTATTTAAAAAAAAAAAAAAAAAAACGCAAAAAATATTTTGCCGAAAATTTAAAAATTAAATTTAAAAAAATAATTTTTTTTTTTTTTTTATATTTTTTCAAATTTGAATATACATATATAAAAGGAGAAAATGAATATATTTAAAAAAAAATTTTTACTGTCAATTTGATTGCAATGCCATTTGAGTTTTACAACTGACTTTCATTTGCTTCCTGAAGTTGAGGCAGGCAAACGTTCGGCTGAAAGCATTTTTTTCTTTTTATCATATCGTAAATTAATGTAATACGAAAAGAGCATCGCTGCAAATTTCCATAGACGCAAAAAGTTTTTCCTCAAAAAAAAAAAAAAAATCAATTTTAATGTAATAATGATTTTCTATGAAGAGCGATCACTCTCGCAAGTAGAAGGATATTGCTTGAAGAGATTTTTATCTTCAATTATATTAATCGTCATGTGCATGTCCAGCTCGTTTTTTAGTTTAATGAGAATTAAGATTGATCAATCAT